AAGGCTCAGACCAAATGAAGAATGGGTTCCTCAATATAGATGCTGAGTAGACTTTAATTGTGAGAGGGAGATAATCATCAATTTTAGTTCTGTAGGTCTAACTATAGTATTAATGGCACCAAAGTCATGGGTTCAATCTTGATCTCAGTCAGTAAATTTGGTACCATTAAAAACAAAACACGGTCCCCTAGTCATAGATTGATCCCCAAATTTTGATCAAACAGTTCATCAGTTTGTATTTCTGGACTTGTAAGAGAGTAAAAGGGAGGCTTCTATACACTCTTTTTCATTATTGGAGGAGCAAAATTCACCTTGCCGCTTCTTAATAATAATCATTTCTGTGTCTGAAAGTGGGGCGGGGGAAGAATAATAGTTTCATGTGAGGAGAGAACATCCATTAATCAACATATAATATTTAACAATAGCATCATTATGTTTCTTAGAGTTGTAAGCGCTTCAAAACATCGAGTATCAGTAAAAAAAGACTCTTAAGGAGATGAGTTGACATAGTGATCGAACAATGGGCTAAAAATACCCAGTGGCTATGTTCAAAACTAAGACCAAAAACAATGGATATTGTGAGTAAGCCGCAGATTTGAGCACGAGTTCCAACTGCTGTCCACAGGGTTACAATGAGTCAAAATCGACTCCATAGCACCTGACAACAGGAACAACAGACATCTTTAAATAGCGCAGGAGTCAGCAGTCCATTTCTAGGCAGACCAAGTCCATCCTCCCAAATGCAGTCAGATTATCATCTTTCCAGATATTCAACTGTGATTGGCCCATGTGCACAGAATTAGGAGTTAAATACAGACCATTCCGAAATTTTTAAACTATAACTACACTGACTTCGGGAGGTCCGGTGGCATAGTCCGTACAGAGCTGCACTGCTAACGCAGAGGTGGTGTTTCTCTGGTGACTGGAATCCACCAGCAGCCCCGGGAGAAAAGATCGACAATCTCCTCTCGTGTGATTTACACTTGCGAAAACCTGCTGGAGGTTCAGCTATGAGTCGCTTCCAGTTCGATGGCAATGAGCTTAAGAGGTACGGGTTTGTTAAATTTTTTTTTTTTAGTATTCTATCTTGAAATTTAAATATAAAAGACTCTTTTTTTCATATAACCACTTGACTCATCTTTCCATTTTCCGTCTACGGAGACAATGATCTCAATTTTCACTTGATGACGATACTCCAGGGCAAAACCTCTTCCTCAAGGTTCCAAGATAAGTGAAGGTAAAACCATCATTATTTACCTCAAACTGAGAACATTCCTTTGACAGCAAGTCGCCTTTCCCTTCATCATTTACATGTGTTGACCACTCCACATATAACATCATTCACTCAATCTCATTGTCATGAAGTCAGAATCAACTCATAGCTGACCCTCCGGCGGCTGTAAATTGCATTGGAGAAGATTATCCAATTTTGTTTTCTCCCACTGAGTCACCATTTTTGTGTTGGCAGCACAACTTTTTACCCACTGGACCATCAGAGATCCCCTAAAAATCACATACGCCCATATCAATAGATTTACCATCCTTGTGTTACTAACCTGTCTAAGAGTTTAGGCAGGTGCTTAATGAATGGCCTACATTGATAGGTTAGTTGGTGACCAAAACAGGGAAAGGAGGAGTTATCGAATCTTCTTAGCTAAAGACTTTTAAGGACCAAGTAGTCTCTCGTCTCAGAGATGGTTAGAGAAACACTGTTCCCTATCAAAACCCCATATCTGATTTATAAGCCTCTCCAGTAACAGTGAGAAATATAGTAGACTATTTTGTGGAGTGTCAAAAATGGTTTTGTTTTTGTTCTATTTTCAATCAATCTAAGGTAAATCAGAGTATCTTGGGATGTGAGAACTAAAGGGTATCTTCGAGATCCTGGATTTTAATTTTAACATTATCATTTAGGCCACATCCAGAGGAAAACCCTGTTTGGAAACACCTAGTAAGTGAGTAGCAGAATTCTCAGGAAGAGGATAGGAAAGAAGGAAGAGTCAGTCTCATGAAGGAGCACGTAGATATTTTAAAGAATGTTTGGCTTATGCACAAAAATGTCAAGGGGAGAGACAGATGGAAAGAGACAGATGAAAAAATTGTCTTTCAGTAAGGAATAGCTAAAGAGCTCCATTCACCCATTCATTCAGGATATACTGAACACCTCCTACCAGGCACTATTCTATGTGTGCTGTATATAATGATGAACAAAACAGCCAAAATCCCCTGCTCTCATTGAGTTTATATTGTAGCTGCGAGAGATAATCAAGAAACACAATTATTAATAAACTATAATGTTCATTATATGCAACTCACATGGTGTACTCAACTCATTGTTGTTGAGTCGTAACCAATGATTCAAAGGCTGTAGTCCATCTTTCTCCTATAGGATCACTGGTGAACTTGAACTGCCAGAAAGGCGTGGCCCTTGGATTAGCAGCACAACTCTCCTAGGGCACCAGAACAGTGTGCCACATAGTAATAATTCTAAGGAGAGGGGGGAGTTAAAAGGGGGGATTTAAAATGTTAGGGGCTAGAAAGGAAGCTTCAAGCACGTTGATGCAGAATATATTCATTAAGAAGGTGCCTTGTAAATAAAGATATGGAGAAAGCAAGATCTAGGGAGGAAAGCATTTCATGGATATGAAACAACACAACTGAAGTCTCTGAGGAAGGGGTATGCTTTGTGTGTTTGAGTCAAGAAGTTGGTGGGACTGGAGCAAAGTGAGACAGTGAGAGGACAGTAGGAACTGAAGTTAGAGAGGTAACATGCAGGCAAAGTTTACAAAGCCTCATGGCTCATAAGAAAAAGGATTAGAGCTTAATGTGGTTGAAACCGGAAGCTATTGACATTTTTTAAAGGAAGAGTGACCTGATTTGATTTACAATTTAACTTAATCACTTGAAATAAATGGAGGCAAGTCAGAGAAAGGGAAACAAATACTGAAGTTACGTATAGTTAAAAAAAAAGGAACAACAACAACAACAAAAAAAACCCAAAACAACCTCAAAGCAAAAGCAAGTGCAAGAGAAGTAGATTCTGAAAAATACTCATGACTGACTGGGACTTTGTATATTCATTTTATATTTTTGTGCAGTCCCAGTGTTTCAGGTGCTAGGGTTATATCAGTAGACAAAGCCTAAATTCCCTTCTTTAGACAAATTTCCATTTGAGTGGGAGACAAATAATAAACAGGAAATCAAATAAACAGACTAATTTCTTATGTTGGAACACACCATAATGAGGCTAGAACAAAGAGCCTTATTAGATTTGTCACTGACGTCTTCTCCTTACTTGTGGAAGCATTGGCTTTTCACAGTCCTAAGAGCTCTGGTGGCATAACACATTGCATGTTGGGCTGCTAATCGAAAGGTAGACTGTTCCAGTGTGTCAGCTATTCCAAGCAGCGAAGTCTCCTCCCAAAAAGATGGACAGTCTCAGAAACCAGTGGAGGGCTGCTACGAACTAGAATCAACATGATGACAATAGGTTCGGTTTTGGTTTTATCTGAAGCTTAGCAACCACAGCAGAAGCCGAAACAGAATTTGAACAGGGGTTATTAGCAGAGGTTTCCGTAGATTACAAAGACTCCATGAACTACTCCATTTAAATAATATTAGTTCGAACAAAAAGGCACATTTGCACCTATTCTGGTATATGCTGGCACTGTGGGGAAATGGAGGTCAGTGCAATAAGCACTTAAAAAGGGCAATGTTTTAGCTACATCGCTCTATCTCCCAGAATGTAGCCTTGTTTTGTTATTTTCATTTTTGTGCCAGTTTATCTGAGCCATCTGGTTAATTCAGTTGACTTTAAGTTTAACATGAGCTAATAGTTTCTAATTACTCCTTATGTTTTTTTCAGGCTTTTCTTTTTTTTTAATTTGTTTTTATTTTATATTGATTTGCATATAAAATTGGTATAGTTTCACACATTCCTTCATTCACATTTTGTTTCATACAATCATTCCAGGATATTGTGTTTTCTAAAATGAATCATCATTGATTTATGCCCACTATTATTCCATATTTTCTATTTTTGTGATGGAGTTAGGAGATTTGAGCTGACTTGGGCAGATCTGTATTGGAAAATGAAGAAAAAGTAAGAAAGGCAGGAAAATGCCTTACCTGGTCTCTTACCTTAGTTGGGAATAATTATTCAAGAAGGCATCTGATTGAGGAGAACTGGAAATTTATATCTATGTATTTTCAGTCTTCTGTGTCCACAGGTCCTGAATTCTTTAATTCAACCAATCTTTGTTTAAAAAAAATACTATGAGAAGAAGAAGAAGAAGAAGAAGAATTAAAAGGGGATTTTTACATTATAAGTAATGTTAATTTAAAGTATATAGCTTGGAGGCAAGGATTCTGGGGCTTCGTCTGACATACTTTGGACATGTTGGAAGAAGAGACAGGTCTTTGGAGAGGGACATCATGCTTGGGAGGGTGGAGGGACAGCGCAGGAGGGGAAGACCCTCTATGAGGTGGACTGAGTCAGTGACTTGGGTAATCAGGATGGGTGTGTCAGAGACAATGAGATTGGCACAGGATAGAGCACGGTTTAGGGCTGTTGTGCATAGGGTCCCTGTGAGTCGCAAACGACTCGACGGCACATAACAACAACAACAACAACAACAAGGGAATGTGTGTATGCTATATACAAATATTGAGAAATTTTATATAGGGCCGTTGAGCATCCGTGATTTTACCATCCACAAAGAATCCTGGGACCAATATCCTGTGGAAACTGAAGAACAACTATGACTATTTTCAAAAACTAGGAAACTAATTTGTTTTTCCAGTTTTTCAGCTTTACTTAGGTTCTCAGTTTGGATCTTTCATTTATGTTCTATATCTTTCAAAAAGGGCAAAATTCATAATCGTGCATATTCTAGTTCTTTATACTTTTGTCATGTCCTCCATCTTCATTCTCGTTCTTGCAGATAAAACTAGGCAGCTGTAATTGGCATCTATCCCATGAAAAGAGACAAGTGAGAAAGATGGCCATGAACAATGCCACAGCAGTGATTCAGTTTCTCCTTATTGGAATCTCTAACTATCCTGAATGGAGAGTCACATTTTTCACACTGGTGCTCATAACTTACCTCAGTACCTTGTTGGGGAATGGACTTATCATTTTCCTTATCCACTCTGACCCCAACCTTCACACTCCAATGTACTTCTTCCTTAGTAACTTGTCTTTCTTAGACCTTTGCTATGGAACAGCTTCCATGCCCCAAGCCTTGGTACATTGTTTCTCTACCCACCGCTACCTGTCTTACCCTCAATGTGTGACCCAAATGAGTGTTTCTTTGCTCTTGGCCACAACAGAGTGTCTCCTACTGGCCGTCATGGCCTATGACCGTGTGGTTGCTATTAGTAATCCCCTGCGATATTCCGTGGTCATGAACGGTCCAGTATGTGCCTGGCTGGCTGCCAGTTCATGGGGGGCATCATTTGTGCTCACTGCCATGCTTGTCTTATCCTTACGACTTCAATTCTGTGGGGCTAATGTTATCAACCATTTTGTCTGTGAGATTCTCTCCCTCCTTAAAGTGTCCTGTTCTGACACCAGCCTCAATGAACTTATGATTCTCATCACAGGTATCTTCACCTTGCTTCTACCCTTTGGGTTTGTTCTCCTCTCTTATGTTCGGATCACTGTTGCTGTCCTGAGGATTCGCTCAGCCCAGGGCAGGTTTAAGGCCTTTTCCACCTGTGGGTCTCACCTGACTGTGGTAACTATCTTCTATGGGGCAGCTATGTCCATGTACATGAAGCCTCAGTCAAAGTCCTCTCCAGACCAGGACAAATTTATCTCAGTGTTCTATGGGGCATTGACACCCATGTTGAACCCTCTGATATACAGTCTGAGGAACAAAGATGTTAAAGGGGCAATGAAGAAAGTGATGGCCAAAAGACCATAGGCTTCTAAATTTAGCACTCACTTAAATCTTCATCTATGGTGAAAATTGTTTAAAGAGGCTGACTTTGCCATTGGAAGAGTAGGTGACTGGCATTTGAGAAGTCCCTATCCCAAAATGTTATCCCTATAAAGACCTGAAATTCTTCACTGACAGAAGGATCTGTTCAGCAAGAGAACTTCCCCTGACTGTTAACAGGAGACAAGACATAAGTGAAATAGGAAAATGGGACAAAGAATGATATGAGACCAGAAGACAAATGCTAGAAACTTTACAACTTACTTCTGCTGTATAAATACAATCTTCTTGCTTCATTTGACCTCAAATCATGAGAGAGGAAAAAAAAATCAGAGCCATTTTACTATATTTGTGTGGAGGACTTTCTCCATTGTTTTCCAAACTTCTTTTTAACCTGTTTACTTGAGCTGTATTTTCTTAGTTCATAGGAAGTTTCACTGTTAACTTAAAGGTGGCACCTCTCTGATAGTTCAAATCCACCAGCGGCTCCATAGGAGACAGATGGGCTACAAGTGGGTTCTAATATAATAACAATGAGGTGGGCTGAGTTGAGTTGAACATCTCCACACAATATGTGAGGAAGACATCATAATCTTCTTTGTAATTAACAATCAGAAAATGGAAGTCCAAAGAATGTGTTGGACTCAAGTTTAAGAGCATATAAAATTCAACAACTCAATTCACTGTTATTGAGTACAACTCAACTCATAACCAACCCTCCAACAGATTTTCAGTGGTTGTGTATTAGACAGGAAGAAATTGTCCATCCTTCTCCTCCAGAGCTGCGAGTGGACCTGAATCATCTGTCTATGGCTAAGCAAAGCAACACCCTACCCACTAGACTATAAAGAATTCCAATCACTTATTTGTCACTTCTGAATTTATCTGACTAGGTTTAGAAAAGGGAGTTCTGGTGGCCTAGTGGCAAGAAATTACACTGCAATCCCAAAGGCACATGGTTCAAGGCCACCAGACACTCTGCTGGAGAAGCATGGGCAATATCCTCCTGTGCGATTAACTACCTATGAAAACCTGCTGGAGGGTCAGCTATGGGTCAGTTCCAACTTGATGGTAAACAACAACAATAAGAATAGGTCTAGAAAAGTACTTGAAAGTATGGAATTACAAGCTTCAGTGACATTTATTAAGTACCTATTACAAGCCCTGCTCATTTGAAGAACTAGACTTTATGAGGAATAATGTGGCATCAAGATTAGAGAAAGACTCATCAACCACCTACTTGGATCCACAGTTAAAAACCTTTGTACCAGCAGTCAGGAAATCAAAAGACATGTTGCACTGGATAAGTCTGTAGTCAGGGATCTCTCCAAAGCACTGAAGAGCAAGAATGTTAGTGAATGAATGCAAACTCAACCTTTCTGTAAACTTTAATTAAAATAAAATACAAAATAAAAACTAAGATATTCCTGATCTAAGCCATATTGGGTTTTGTGTTGCTTTTTGTTGAGTTGGTTGGTTTGGTGTGGTTTTTTTCCCTTCAATTATTTGCAATGCATCTGAGAGTTGTATAAAGGTGATAGATGCCTTTGAGTTGTGGTGCTGGAGAAAAGTGGACTACTGAGAGAACAAATAAATATGTCTTCGAGAGGGCACAGTCAAGGTGCTCCTTAAAGGGAAGAATGGTGAAACTTTGTCTCACATATTTGGGGCATGATGTTAGGGGAAGGATATTTTGCTCAGAAAAGTGGAGGATCAGTGAAGGAGAGGAAGACCCACAACAAGATGGATTAATTCAGTAACTGTAACAATGGACTCAAGTGTGGCAGAGATTATGGGTATGACACAGGTTGGAGAAGCATTCAGATTCTTTGTTCATAGGGTCATTATGAGTTATAGTGGATTTGATGGCAGCTAACAACAGCTTAAGTAATGCCACTAACATCCTCAGGCTTAAGATAAAGAAATTGAGACTTAGAGAGTATAAATAGTCTGTCCACGGCCACAGAAGCAATCAACAGTATAACCAGCATCTGAGTCTAGATCTGGTTAATTTCAGATACCACTCAATTCTCCAGTTTCAGGTACTGTATTCAAACTAGAAAGGACCTTTGAGATAATTTTATGAGTTGAATTTTTAAAATATGTTTTGTGATAGAATTTGTGTAAAGTACATCCATTTATAGTACACATTTAGGCTGGTTTTATATGGCCAAGGAACCATCACCACAATTAAGAAATATAACAATTCCATCACCTCCAAAAATCTCCTTGTGTCCTTTTCACCCCTGTGTCCAGTTCAGCCCTGCTTCCATCCTCTGTCCCAGGAAACCATTTTGATCAGACCTGTCACTATAGATTCATTTTCATTTTTCCAGATTTTCCTGTAAATGGAATCATGCGTACAGTATGTATTTTTTATGTGTGGCTACTCTCACTCAGCACGTTTTTGAGATTCATGCATGTCATCGCATGTATCAGTGGTTTGTTCATTTTTATTGCTGAAAATAGATTCTACCACTTCAATTTGTCACATCTTCTCATCCACTCCTTGAACAATTCAGGGGTTTTTAAACTTTAATTCACATAGCCTGTGAATCTGTCATGCTTCTTAGAGCCTGCTAACTGGGGTAAAGATTTCTCTGCACAGTTTCATTGGTAAAAAAAAACAGTTCTAAAAAGAAAAAGTTTTAACAATGATCTGCTCTAAACCTCTCATTTTATTTTACTTTTCTTTTTTTTTGAAGAGTCTTTTTAAAATCTTTTCTTTTATGTGAGGAATCTGAAGCTCAGTGAACGGGAAGCTAACTGACGCAGATCTAGGACGAAGATCCAGATATACTACCTTCAAATCTCACTTCATTTTGAGTAATTTCACCTTAAAAATTCCCCCACAATTAAACCTATTATTGCCCTTCAGTCACTTCTGACTCATAACAACCCTACAGGTGTCAGAGATGACCTACACTTCATAGGATTTTTAATAACTCTAATCCTCATTTGTTTTTGAGGGAGCTCTGGTGGCCTAGTGTCAAGAAGCCGTGCTGCAATCTCAGAAGGCATGAAGTTTGAAGCCACCAGCTGCTCGGTTAGGAAATCTTCCATGTGATTCACTGCTTCTGAAAACCTGCTGGAGAGTCAGCTATGGGTTTGTTCTGACTCCACAGTACACAACAACCCTCATTTAGTAGATCAGTAGTTCCTTTTTGTATTTTTAACATAGAATTGCTGAATGGATAAGAACCACCAGCCTTTCAGTTAATAGTTAAGCATCAACTGTTTGCATCATGCAGGGAACTGTAATGTTACCAAACATGATAACATCATCTCCAAAGAAGTCTGATGAAGAACCACAAACAAATAGACAAAATGTGATGCAAACACCTATTTGTGAGTTATGGACTACTGAGCAAGCGAACAATCATTGTTCAAAATTAAATGACAGTAGTTTGATGCAATGCTGTGTGAGTTATTCAAAACCCACAAGTTGTTTCATATGTTTACTCACTAAATGAAAATGTAAATGGAAGATGACTAAACCACTTAACAAGATGATGTAATTTGAAAATAAATGCAACCTTTATTCAATTGTCATCAAATATGGATATTAAAAGGTTCATTACATTCTTGCCCACTCTGATCGGTGCCAGGTGGTGCAAGCCTATTTTTCCAGCTACTTGGAAGACTGAGGCTGGAGGATTGCTTGAGTCCAGGAGTTCTAGGCTGGAGTGTTCTATGCCAATCAGGTGACCATGCTAAGTTTGGCATCAATACAGTGACATCCTGGGAGCAGGGGACACCACTGGGTTGCCTATGGAGGGTGAACCCACCCAGGTCAGAAATGGAATAAGTCAAAATGCCCATGCTGATTATATTTCATGCCAAATATTTCTTAAAGTTAAATAAATACAAATTGGTGAAAGCAATAAATTTTTAGAGGAGAAAAAATAGATTCAGACAGAGAGAAATTCAGAAATTAGAAGACTTATTAGCCAGAACACACTGTCATCATGTTGAATTCCAACTCATAGCAACTCCATAGGATGGTGTAGAGATACCCCGTTGAGTTTCCAAGGCTAAGGTAATCTGTTTTACTCTCACATCTTTCTCCAAGAGCAGTTGATGGCTTTGAACAACTGACTTTTGGGTTAACAGTCAAGCATTTAACCTCTGAATTTCAAAGGCTTTGTACTTTTGGGGGGGGGGGAAATAGTTCATTCTCCACTACAAAGGGCTCTGCAGCTTAACATGGGAACCAGATTTCCACTAATGGCACTTTGACCCCAGAATGGTAACTATGCTCTGAGGTCCTTTTTAATCTCTTTATTAACATGCCATAGCTTCTGGACAGAGTGACATTGTGGAGTGTGGAGATAGAGGTTGTGGGATTGATTTTGCTACTAGCAAGTGGTGTGACCTGAGTCACTCTTTGGCTTCCAATTTTGATTCTCAGTATAACAGGAGAACTGTGTTTAGTTGTTCCAAGACTTGTCTAGTTCTAACATTCTGAGCCTTGAAAATATTTTGTAAAACTTTTCATATTTCTTTTTTTAAAATCATTTTTATTTTAAAAAAAAGCATCCATTTGCTCTGCAACTGGCTTTTCTACTCTTGGCAATGCATCATGAGCATTCCTAAAGTCAATTAATCTATCCGTCCGATTTCAAATGCTCACTTTGGCTGAAAAGAGTAGACATATACAACACTTAGTTAACTATGTCCCTTCCAGCCCTAACATTCTGTTTCTGGATGCTTAACATCCAAAGGCCATATAAATCAACATTGATATTAATTTATTTTTAATATAAATATGAACTCTATGAGGAGAATGTGAAAGAAAAGCAGTGAGAGATTGTTGAAAACTCCTAAGGTTAAATTTTGCTTCTCCTCTTGATCGATTATTAGCATATACCCACACCCCGGGAATCTGGGTGGTTGTTGTTGTGTTGTTGTTGTTAGGTATCATCTAATTGAATATGACCCATAGTGACCCTATGAACAATGGATCTCAACCCTGTCCTATCCTG